GTATTATCTCTGTATTTTTAAAATTTCTTTTTAATTATTTTTTATCATTCTTTTATTGGATCTTCTATACTTAGATCATGATAAATGTACTGTTTAAATAATAATAACAATAAATATATGATATCTATATATTGGTATATAATTTTTATCGTCACACGATTATTTATAAAAAGAACATATGCAATATAAAAATTATAATTCCTTTACAAAATCTTAATTATATTTGCGCGAATAAACAAAACTTGCGTGTATATATATGTGCTTCAAGAAAGGGAAACTAAAAAAAGAAAAGATGAGACTTTTTGAATTGTTGCCACTAAGCATAACTTTCATATGCTTTCCTTAATTGCTTGATGGCCATGGGAGTTTTATTTGTTTAAGAAATTAACTTTATAAAGTGATATGAATACCTTTTGTTAGTCAAAAATATTGATTAGATTCGTGTACCCAATTTTTATGTGTGATGAAATAAAAAAGCAAATATCAAAAGAAAGGGCAAAAGAAAAAAAAAAGAAAAAGAAACAAAGATCAATGATTGATGTAGTGAAAGTTTAAAACACCATTAAGAATCTTAATCATTCATTTTGTACCAAAACCATAATTAAAACATGTCTTGCATCATGATCAATACGGCCTCTGATCCAATTAATTACTTAAGCATGGATTAATTATCTGTGTTCTTCGAGAACGCAATTATAAGCTTTGAATTAATGCCTTCAATAAACCATACAATAATAATCACGCCCTTCAAAATAACTAACCAGAATTATTTATCCTATGTCGAATCAATATGGAGTTGGAAACACAGAATATTTATTAAAAACTTGGAGGGAAAGTTCTGTCATTGTTGTGATTCCTATCCAACTTAAGCCAAACGAGGATTCAATATGAATTTCAGATTTCAGGTACCTAGGTATTTTAGTTAAAAGGAGCTAAAGTGCTTTTGATCAATTAATGAAATTATTAGTGTCAGTTTCAATTGTTGATAGTTTATTTTGTTTGATATACTATAATTTAAGTGGGTTGGACCGTAAAAGATCACCAATACCTATGTGCGTTTTTTGTTTTAAAGAGTGTCTTTATCTTGCCTATCGATAAGATTTTCATATCAACAACAAGATTTGAACCCGCAACCATGATAATTATGGATAAAATCTTTATCAACTAAATAAGTCTTTATATTGTCACCTAAAGAAATAAGTCTTTGTATTGGCTGGTGATAAACTATTTGAATTAATGAATATTAACAATTATTTCATTAATATTCAAGTAATTTATTATTTTTGTTAATAGCTTTGTAGTTTAATGATATGAGGCTTCTTAGTAAGTGGGAGGTTACAAGTTCAATTCACCTTACAATTTTATGCTATCAGGTCTTGCCTCTTTAAATAAAATAATTTTTTGGGGGGGGGGGAGAAATTGGAAATAATGAAAAGAAAAGAAGGAAAAACATTGCATTTGGATCGATCAATTTATAGCTAGTGAGCAATAATATAGGCCATTGAAAAGCATACAAAGATACTGTTCAATTAATGTGGAAGAAGGAAGCAAGCAAACAAAATAAACCAGAAGTATATAGTGGAAACTAAAGTGAGTGAATGTATTGTCAAGAAGAGGGATTCTGGTTTTGCAAGTTGCAAGATGAGAGAGAGAGAGAGAGAGAGACCCATCAATAGAAGAAGACATATACAGGCATATATAAAAATGGACCCTTTAAATTTATCCCCTGAGAGCAAAAGAAGAACGAAAGGAAGATATAAGACCAAACAAAAGTCAAAGGCTATATTCCCTGTTCGCCCTAAAGAGGAGGCAATTCAAAACACAGTGGTCCCTAGCCAGTTTACTTCAAATCATGGAGCCATGAATAAAACTAGATCCAGCTAGTTCATAGCTTTGCTAGCTTCATCGTCCTCTTGGACAAGCTAGCCAGCCAGCTAGGGTTAGAGCTATGACATATATATGCTTGTGCTGAATTTGAGTTCTCAGATTTTCACATGGCTTATGTCCTTCTTCCTCAGTAACAGCTAACACCCATCAATCCTATATACCTTGTCTTGCCACAGACCTATAAAAGTTATCTGTCATTTACTCGCTTTTTTCGTTCAATACGTTCATCACTTTTCGCTATCACAAGTTCGATGATTTGTTTTTCTTTTGACTCTATGAAATTGACTATATATATATATTTGGATAGAGATAAAAATAAAAATAGGTGATAATGATGTAATTACAAGATATAGATTCTATTCAAACTAGGTAAAAAGATTATACATAAAACGTTAATTTGTGCAATACTTAAATAAAGCAGAAGAGAAGGCCGGCTTATAACTTAAAAAAAAAAAAAGATGCATATTACAAAAGAAACAGAAAAAATAAAAGTAACAGTTAGCATTCTGAAGACTAGCCAGAGCTTGAGTCCCATCTCAAACCAATTGCAACGCCACCAAACCCGACACTGCTCGAAAGTCTCAAAGCATAGAAGTAAATATTACTCGGCGAAATTGATAAGACAAGAGACATGGGAAGACGCCACCATGGATCACCAATTCACGCTGGTGAGCCATGATGTTGATAGTTTTTAAGCTGTTAAAAAGAGTCTCAGCACAACCTTGCTGAGAGGATGAAGTGGGCTTACAAGCCACGTAAATTGTCTTATAATAAAATAAAAAAAATGATATAGATTCTATGTATACATACACAGCTTTAATTTATTAGCTTCTTTCACTTTCTTTCATTAGCAATAGTTGTTATGTTTCATCGTCAATTCTTTCAGGCCACCACTAAATCGTGGCGTCGACAAACATTTTAGACAAGAGTGTCTCTGTGTGTGTGTGTTTTCCCGCAAAAATTCTTGAGGTGCGCCAGAAATCAAATGGTCTCGAGTCAAATGTTATGACTTTTATCAAACAAGGTGGTCCATGGGTTTCTTTAATTTACTGCAGTCTTCCCAGGTGTGATGAATATGATGAGGACGACGAAAACTTTGATAAAGAGTGTAAATATAGTTTGAAATATTAAAGGGGAAGTTAACGAAATATCTCTCATTGATTAATGAGAATGACATAAATCAGGATACCAATATCCTATGTGAATAAAATATGCAGAGTATTTTTGTTTTTTGTATATAAAAATTTATCCAATTCTTCTCGCCAATAAAATTTTTAATGGGGAACTTTTTTTTCCCAATTTTCTCTATAGTCAACCTAATTAAAACTAAATCAAATTTATTACAAACAAACATATAAATTATGGTGTGTGTGTCTGTTCGAGGAAGAGATTCAATAATTTAAAACATGTCTAGCTAATATATTTATAACTTTTAGGATTTAATTAATATATTTATTTTTTAAAAGAAATGAAATAATTATTACCAATTGTTTTGAAATACAAGATCACCTCATATCCGCAATAAAGACTAATTTGTTTTACAATATAAGAATAAAGAGTAAACTTCTGTTAATCCTCTTAACAAGTTACAAATAACAAAATTATATAGATTAAGTAGTTGATCATAATTGATTAAAGATGATAAATATGTAAAAAAAATATTTTTTTTAAATACTACACTTGATCTTAGCCAAAAGGCCGAGAAAGGAATATATTTTCTTTTAAATATGCCCAATTTATAGTAAGGATGAGTGAGAGAGAATGAACAAGAAACTGTCTAAAATCTAAATTAATGCAGAGACACAAAATTAATTAGGAATATAAATAAAAAATTTATTAAAAATTTAGATACCTCCCAAGTATATAACTTATAAAATGATCAAGCTTAATTAAAAAAAAAAAATCTAACTTACAGAAAGTGCAGAGTACATATAACTATATACTTAAATACAGCTGAAATTGAAAGGCATCGAAGCATTCAAAGAATGTAAACTGAATCATCAATCATAACGCACCCACAGTTTCTAAGTTAGATTTATGATTAAGTGAGAAGCATATGCAAGAAACTGTGGATTGTCTTGGGGACTGAAACTGTGGATTAATTAATAATTAACTAATATAATATAAAACAAAAAAAAGTTTCAGTTTGGCTCATTTAGTTTAAGTATATCGAGAACTGATTCAGTTCATTGGAATCAGACAATTTAGTGTTATCAACTATACGTACTCGTGTGGGTGCGTGTGTGTGAGATTACAAAATTATTATACTGATCGAAACAAATGGTCTCATTGCCACACCAACGGTTCTGTGTGTCTGACAGAAATTAATTTTTCTTAAAAAAATGGTTAGTTATTTTGTATCGGGATGATTAATTATTTTGGTATGTTCTAATTCGGATTAGATTCTGCACCTCGGATTAAGTTAAACCTTCATTAATCTCTACGCTCCAATCATGTGCGCACAAATACACATGAACTCGAAATTCTTTCCTCCCCGTACGTCCATTTCGTATTAATTAGCTTATGAATATAATGTTATTGTTTTTTAATTTGTCTACACAGTTATATTTTATTAGAAGATAAGTTATTGAATTTGAATACCTATCAGACTCGAAAACTAAGTGGACAAGCATGACTCTTGTGGCCAAATTAATACTACCTCTTATTTTTAATATAAGAGTTAGATAAATAATTTGTTAATATTAAAAAAACTTAGTTAAGTTAATTATTTATAATAAGCGGTGTTGTCATTTTTAAAATATTCTTATTAATTATGTGTATTAGAATAAAATTTTTTTAATATGTGTAATCATCATGACGACTAGTATGAAAAAAATGAATAAATATAGATTAAGATCTTATATTTAAGTCTAAATTGAATTTTCATCTAACTATCATATTTAGGATTAGAGGTTGTGTGTGTGTGCAAGTTACGGCTGATTCATCCATCTCTTGTCTTTTCTTACCTACGACTTCTCTATTATTTTCCCGTTTTGGTAGAAGCAAGTGAAATAACTTTAATGCATAAAATTGAAAAGAAATAGCAAAACGATAATTTAATATGCATGGATGAGTAATTTTCCCCATCTCAATATAATAAGGTCGTACTTTGATTCTCCATTATTATTTATTTCCTTTTCTAATTATAATAAAATAAAACAGAATAGTCTGATTCATACACCAAATAATATAAGTAAGAAGAATTATAGCGGCATGCTTCATGAAACATAACAAAATGACATCATTAAATGGAATAACCAAACGTGTACGACACTAATTAGAACTTGGGAAATAAATAGTAGTAGTAATAATAATATTAATTGAAACAGAATTAATCATCAGTAGTAGTTTTCCTTAATTTTCCTTTGATGGATGACATATTGTAATGTCTATATAACTTTTGATATATAGATCGATCAGTTGGTGACGCCTTCTACATATCCCTTCAGAGTCCCTTTTGGCGTCACCCCAAATCCCTTTGCCTCTGATTTCTTCATTATCCTCAACCTCTTGCACGACTCCATAAACATTCTGCAAAACCCAACACATAACTTCATCAATAAATAAATTAAGCAGAATCTGATATATTAAATTAAATTAATTAATTCATAGGAATATGTGTGTGTGTGTGTGTGTGTGGCATATATATGACAAATTAGTCCTTAAAAAGGATCATTGGATTTTTCCCCCCATTTAGAGGGGCGGATACTGCTAATAGCATAACGTTACAGGTAAGATCAAGTACATAACCTCTTCCACTTATAGAAAAGCTTTCATTTCACATGGTTGATAGCAATTGGACATTATGATTCTTTGAGATGTGGACACCTAAAAATGAAAAAGGGATTATTTTATTTTTCTTTTTATTTTCATTAGAAGAATAATAGGTTTGCCTTTTATATGAGGGAAGAGCATTATTATGAATTTTTTTTTTGGCTTCCCAGCATGATAACGAGGAATTCACGCATGTCGGCTAATATATGTGTGGTCCAACTTTTACATTATTGGTGTCACGAATATGAATGAATATTACTTTTTATTTTTCATTACACATATATGTACTTTCATGATCATGATATATGTGTGTGTGTGTGTGTGTGAGAGAGAGAGAGAGAGTACCTTTTCATTAAATAAATAATTTAGATCATTGCACATTTTAAATTTATGTTAAAATCTGAATTATTCTCTAACTGAATTCTATCTTAATATACTTTTCTTGTTAAGTAAGTATTGATATAAAAATGAATCCTAACATTTAACTCTGTCCCATCGATCAGCAGGTAGATCTGGATGATTGGGATAATTAAACTTAATGAAGCATCATGGTTCTAATCAAGTGCAGCTTTCGTGGACGACAAATTAACAAACCAAACTATATATATATATATATATATATATATATTCATATAAGACCAGATGGGATGGCAATATAAATCTGTGGGACTAGTTTTGTCGACGACATTGAAAACCAGATGCTGATAAGTAATAGTTGATGCAGTTGAGTAAATAATACGTAAAGGACCGTAAATATCACAAAATGATGGAAAAAATAATACTCCTCCTTAATATAGGACTTAATTGTTGAGTTTTTTGGTCCTAAATATAATACCCATTTCTTATATTTATCAATCTTCTCTAAATTACCCCTATAGATACTCTTTTAACCATAATCAAGTAGAAGAGGAAGAGATGGTATTAAAAAAGAAGATTATGGTATTTTAGGAAAAAAGTGTCATATTTCTAATAATTAACTAACTTATCTAACTTCCTTAATCTAATCAAATTAGTTAAATGAGTCTTATATTAAGAACCGGAGGAGTAAAATGTATATAGTACAACTAATAGTATTTATTAGATTAAGTGGAACGACTTATTTTCTTGCATAGTTAAAGTTAACCAAGGACTCAAATAATCCTATAGATGTGTGTGTGTATGTGTGTGTGTAAATTAAGTTAAAAGAGCTAATCTAATTAGATCCAATAGTACTCAAATTTGATAATTACTGTTATGTATAAAAAGAAGAATAAGTAGGGCACACAGTTTTGAAAAAGGGATTGGTGTTGGTGAAGACAAGCTTTGAAATGAGTGGGATTAATGGTTTTGGTCAGCAAACACGGGATATGACTCCGGGGGACAAGTTTTCTGGTTCTACTTCATTCCTACTTAACATGTTTTATCATTTTCATTATTATCTTTCCCTACATAATTAAATAACACATACCCCACACCCCAAAAACCACAATCTAATTAATTAATTTGTCTCTATAATTAATTTGTCTCAAATTATTTATGTTATTCTTCATGGTTTAATCATAAATAGCATGCTAATTTCCCACAATTTCATTAAGTAAATTACAAGATTGAAATTTTTTTCAAATGATTCATGATATGCATGAGCAAACAATTTTAATGATAAACAATAATTTTTTAAGGAAAGGCTAGCATATTTTCTGAAATCTTGAAACCAAATGATAAATAATTAAACACCCCCAAAAAGATGAGAACAAAACTAACAGTAGAAATAATATTAAAACATAAATAAATGTGTTTGCTACAAGGAAAGGATGTGACAATAAATTAGTTGACTAAAGCAAATAATAATAAAAGAAGAATTAATTAATGAAAAAAGGAAGAGGGAAAAGAGGGGACTTACTCCCAAGGGACATCCCCAACGAGCATCCAGTCACCGTCTTTGTCCTCATAAATGGGAACGTGTTCGGTTTTGTCTCCATTCTTCAACGCCTCCTCTGTCCATTAATTAATTAATTAATTAAAATTAAACTCCTCATTAATTTATTAATCCAACAAAAATCATCCACAATATCCTTATTATTTCTTTGTCCCCAAGTCAAGTCATATGATCATCATGCGTTTGTAATTGAATATTGTCTGCCTCCTAGGGGTGGAAACAGGCCAGGCGGCCTGTTAGAGGCCTATGGCCTGGCCTGCATTTGGCCTGGCTTGGCCTGGCCTGTTTCCTAAAAAAGACAGGCTCAGGCCTGTTTGAAGGCCTGTTTAACTAAACAGGCCAGGCTTAGGCTTTTTAAAAAGCCTGTTAAGCCTGTTAGGCCGGCCTGGGCCTGTTAGGAATTTATAATCATAATATATGAAAAAAATTAATTAATGCTATTATTGTTAATGTGCTCTTTTAATTTATTTTTTAATTTTAATATATAGTTAATAGCTTAATCTTTTCTTAGATTTTGAAGTTTAGATGACAAGTGAAGATAAAAATATAATTTAAAATAATAATATCAATAAATAATGTGATTTTTAAATCTTAAAAATATAAAGAAAATAGGAAAGAAAATTTTGTTCCAAGAATGATAAATTAACTAACTTACGTATTATGTTAATTTAAGTATGATACCCTCTTTATTCATTATAAAATTAGTATTTTTTTCTCTTTATTTATTTGTCTTAATTTTAATTTTTTGTGTGTACTTAAACGTAGTCTTATTCCAAATTTTAACATATAATTACAATTAGTTTTCAATAATATTCTTATAAATTATAATTAAGATTTAAAATAGTACTTATGATACTAAAATTTAAATAAAAGACAAGACTAAAAATTTAATTATTATGTACGTTTTTTTAATCTTGGCTTTTTTTTAAAAAAAATAATTATTATAATTTGAATTTTTTAAAAATACAGGCTTTTTAACAGGTTTCAGGCCAGGCCAGGCCAGGCCTTTATACAGGCCAGGCTCAGGCTGAAAAATAAGCCTGTAACAGGCCACAGGCTAGGCTCAGGCTAATAGGCTCCAAAACAGGCCTGGCCTATTAAGAGCAAAGCCTGGCCTGACCTGGCCTGTTTCCACCCTTACTGCCTCCTCAGCTCCTCTGTCTTGCTTCTCCCATATCCCTCTCCTTTCCAAAAATTATTCTACCTTCCATTTGTTCTTCCCTCTTAGGATATTTAATATTTAATAAAGATAACTAGTTTATGAAAATTAATAAAATTAGTTAAGCTAGCTAGTTATAACAATTTGTGGTGTTTTTCTAAAATACCTATTTAATTATTTGTATTACAAACTAGTTAATTTCAGAAAGAAAATTACAAATTTACAAATTTCTCAATTTGCTAGCTCTGAAGGGGTAATAATTAAAGCATCGATATCTTTATGTCTTATAGATCCATATTTTATACATTAAACATCAGTCTTTAGCAGCATTCCACACTAAATATATATGAACTACATGAAACAATTTGACAACTAACTACTAATAATCTACTATGCTCTCTTCTCCTCTATCAAGAATTACAAGATTCTCACCGTTCAAATCTATTTTCTCTATATATCCCACAGAAAACCAGAGAGCCATGTCCATTTATATTTCTTTATATCCATCAAACTTAATTAGGTTTGGCTAGAAATTAAAGGGAGAAGAAGAAATTAAAAGAAAGAAAAAGGGACTCACTGATTCCATAGCAACCAAAGAGCTTTTCCAAGGCGAAAGCGAGTTCAGAGTAACCCTTAAGCTTTTCCAAGTCAATTTTGCGCAAGAACGGAGCTCCATCCATGCTCACTTTCACATACATTTTTGACCCTTCGTTGTTGTTCATCCCATTCTTCCTCCTGTACGAGCACACCGGTGGCCACCCCACCACCACCTCATTATTATTCTTCGCCGCCTCCACCTTCCGGTCTCCACCAGCTGACGAGCTGTTCTGATCGTCTCCGCCGCAGCCGCCATCCCCCTCGTGACGATGATCATCAATCTCCGAGAACAGCCTCTTCCTCTCATTCTTCTCCTTCCCCTCCCTTCCAGGAAGACCCAGCCTCAGCTCCGTGATCTCAAGTCCCAAACCACCATATTTCTCCATCATCAAGATAGAAAACCCGCGAAAATTCTCCTCTCCTTTCCCGGAAAACTTCAAACTTTCTCACTACTATATAGGACGGTCGAGAGAGAAGATATATCAATGTGTATACGTATATATGGTGTGATGAGATTAATTAGGGGGTGTAATATAATGGAAAGAATGGGAGGGTTTATATATATATATATATGTATATATATAGACATAGGTGTAGAAAAGAGAAGTTAATTAGGACATAGTGGGGGCAGTGACAGGTCAAGTGATGGGTTAGTGGTCGGTCACATGAGAAACAAACGTAGGGACGAGGGTGTTTGTGGGGTGGCCCACAGAAGCACCAATAAAGGGAAGCATTATAAGTTGGATACGGGGACAACATCGGACGGCGGTCGTTCGTCCTCTGATTTGGTCAGATTTGATCATGTCCGTCTGATCAGGTGACTGGGGACACACGCCATGTGGTTTGCTTTGATTGAGGGCCTCTTTGCAATAAATTATGCACAGCAAAGGTCACCGTATATAATGGGTGTGTGCCTTGATTTCTTTTTATTAATTCATTTATTTTGCAGTAATTAGGAAACATGAATTTCATTATGTATTGTCATTCTGCTTCCCTTCTTTTTTAAATAAAATATCCCAATAGTTACTTACATGCCCATCTAATTTCGAGGCATTTGATCCGAGAAAAACTTGATAGCTACATAGCCTTTTGTAAAAGATAGCTAGATACATTAATTAAGTTATTTGTGTGTGTGTGTGAGTGAGTGAGAGAGAGAGAGAGAGAGAGAGAACAATATGGAGTGTGTTTAAAGTTTGAACATTGGCTAGATTAATGAACTCTAGAAAATTAATTTAGTCTCTCAACTATTGAAATTCTATCGACTTATCATTGGTTTGCACTTAAATGTGATTTTTTTAAAAAAAAAAAGAAAAACTAGTAAGTAACAATGAATGAATGGAATCAAGGTCTTTCTTCGAATTTATCTTTTATCTTTATATAAATTACAGTGGACCGATATATATTTGTAGCAATGCATTATTTTGTGGGTTTTACAATAATGAGTTCTCTTTTTGCCCCTTTTCTTTCATTTAAAAATTTGAACAAGTCATATTATTTATAAATTTGAAGACTTCATACAATCCGTGGTTTGAATTAACTTGAATACTATGAATAAATATGATCAGGGCTTGTTGAACAGATCTATGCAGTTATATATACTCTTTCTAATTCACAATAAAAGTTACTTAGAAAATAATCAATGCTTATTTATTTATTTTGTCCCTCCAATTAATATTTAAATGTGACTCTTTGCATTTTTTTATTTCCTTCACAACCTCGTTTAGTATGAGTAAAGTTATTAACTATCACTTTTTTTACTCTGATGAATTAATTAAAATGATTCATATTGTAAAACAGAGTGCACGTATAAGTATGAAAGGAAGAAAGGGGAGTGAATAGAAGGGAAATTAACAGGGGTGGGGACAGAAGACCAAAATCAAAAGCAAAGAATAATGATCAGTCAAAACTTGAAAATGTAACAAAGTTAACAATATCCGCACACCATGTTTGCCTCTTTTACACGCCTATATAAATATATATATATATATATATAAGCCTTTTTATTTATGTCATAATTAACATTGATCCTCCTTTAACAAACACTTTTAACATTAATTCTCACCTTTTCCCAAACACAACGTACCAACAACAATTGATTTCTCACAATCATAGACCTAATTCACATGAAAAACTATGTACTATCTTCGCTTTTTAATATAAGAGTTAGTGGCTAATTTGAATAAATTAAAAAAATCAGTTAAATTAGTTATTTGTAATAAATAGGTATTGTTTTTCCTGAAATACCCTTGCTAATCAAGTGTATTAGTTAAAATTATCATTTGATGAAATATTTAATATGTGCAATTACTACAAAGACTATTTTGAAAAAATAAATAAATATGAGAGATAAAGTGGATTGAGTCTTATAGTTACAATCAAATTGAATGTCAAATTAACTCTTATATTAAGAATCAGAGGTAGTATATATTACCCCTGATCCTAATTATAAGACCTTGTTTGTAAAACAAGGTCTTATAATTAGAACCAGAGGGGTAATATATACTAAAGGTCTTATAATTAGGATCAGAGATAGTGTATGTGTGTGTGTGATCCTTTTTATACTCTTCACCGCTTGCTTCGGTCAATTTGATTGGTGATTTATGGTAATGCTACTCTTAATTTCCTATATTCTTATTACGGAAAGTAAATTAATTACATTTCTATTATTAGTTCATTGCACCGCTTCGCCAACCTGACTTGACCTGCCTCTGTCTTATCAGATTTGTCGATACACTTAATGTTCTACGCATTTCTTGGTTTTCATATTATTATACGATGTTCATCATATTCATTGAACGAATATTGAGATTTGCGTATAATCATGAAAAAATATTTTACACAAATTTTACGCTAATCGTCTCACGGTAGAGTACAGCTCAAAAGCACACAGGCTTATGATACAATTATATCTTTCTTAATTATTATTTTCTCGCGTTGATTAAATCTGTTATTTTTGTGTGATATAACTTTAAAATGTGGGTTTCATGGAGTTATGTTAAGATAAATATGTGCATGCACTTTAGTATAAATTAGTCCCTCCATTTTCTAATCTAATATAGGAGCTATTTAAGAAATTTAATTTGGTTTTAAGTATAAGATCTTAATTCATTTTTTTATCTCTCATGTTTATTATTTTTTCAGAAACTAATTTACTTGATTTATAATTTGATATATATATATATATATAATGTTATACGGAACCTATTTTAATGAGCGTCATGTACTTATAGTTGTAATGAGATTTATATTCAATGGTTTAAATTCAAAATTTTCGACTGATAATTTTTAAAAAATTAGATTATATACCTATATATTAAAAAATATTTTTAAATAAAAGTATAAAAAATTTAATCTTGACCGTCCATATTAAATTCGGATGGTTTAGATCACATGGGTATTTATAAGGGAGATCATGTCACATGTTATATAATTAACCAAGTTAATTAGCATATTTAATTTATTCAAATTAACTTAATAGTGCTTATATTAATGAGGGAATATTTCCAATTTTGTTTTGGTCAAGGACCAAAAAAATATTCTACCCACAGTATTTCCATAACCAAGCAACTAAACATTATTTAACCCCTTGATTTAATTAAAGTTGGTATTTTCTTGAACACACACACAGCCGTGCACACGTGTGTGCGCGGTTGGCATTTTAACATCATGGTGGTGGGTGGGCATGACATGGTAAATGCAAAGAATAAAGTTCAGTTCAAAGACATGACACCCCTATTATCATCCCTTTGTTGATTCCTCTGGTTACGTTACATTTACGATCCTGTCAAATATACCACAAAAACAAACAACCTTTTAAACAAACCAAATTAAAACAAAAACCAAAAAACTACTGATAGGTTACCCTCTGTTTGGATAGAAAGAAAAGTTGAGAAGAAAAAATAATGATAAGAAAAAAATAGAGAGAAGAGAAAACCAAAGAGAAAATATTATCATCTCAAATATTGGATGAATGAGAGAAAACGGGGGGGAAGAAAATGAACAAATATTTAAATGACTAAAATATTCTTACCCTACACCAAAATATACCATGACTAAAATTAAATAAAATATCACAATAAAAAATCAATATTAACATTATTAAATATTTTAAAATTATATAAACATGTTATTGTGTTTTTAGATCAAATAATTTAATAAAAGTGTTACTTTTTAATATAAATAATAAAATTTATTTTTAAAAAATAAATAAAATAAATAAACTACAGTTAGATAAGATAAGAAGCCACTCAATCATATGTAAAGACTATCAAAAACCAAGTGAAGGTTCTTTCCTTTTTCAGTTTAAAAAACGTTAGGGATAATTTAAAAAAAAAAATTTAATGTGAAGATCAATTTTGTTGTGAATTTCGCTCACAAAAATCATAACAAAGAAGACGGTGGACGTGAGAGCAATAGTGGAAGATGTGTTTTCTTCCCATTTTTTCTCCATATGAGAAGAGAAAATTGGGGTGGGTCTCAGGCCCCCTTTTTTTTTTCAGTTTTCTTTTTTCTCACTTTTCTGTCCACATCCAAGCAGAGGAAAAAATTATTTTCTCTCCTTTTTTTTTCCCCGATTTTCTTTCCTCTAAAGTTTTCCCTCCATCCAAACGGAGGGTTAGAGTCGGAAGAATATACTTTATGATGTTCAAAGATATGATACCTCTGTTATCATGCATTTGTTGATTCCTCTGGTTAAGTGACATTTACGATCCTATCAAATATGCCACCCAAACAAACAACCTTTTAAAGAAACCAAATTAAAACAAAAACAAAAACCTACTCATAGGTTTGAGTCTGAAGAATATACTTTAGGATATTCCATGTAAGTTCTACAATTGGTACCAAAAAGTTATTTCAGAAGTGTACCATGTAAGTCTATATATATTGCATCTTATCCTAATTAATCTGGTGCTGAATATATCCAGGTGTCATGAAACTGTTGAAGATGCTATATGAAGCAAGCACTTTATTATTACAACAAAGAAGCATTAGCACCCTCATATTATTTCTCATAGCATCCGGCACTCTAATCTTATTTATGATGCATCTAACATTTTGTTGTTATTTTTCAGTTATATCCAATATCTTAATTTTATTTATGGCTTAGGATACTTGATGTACTATGAGATTATAATGCTGAAAGCATTAAAAAAATAATATTAGAGTGCTGAATGCAATTAGAAAATAACATTGAGGTATTAGATACTACTTTACCTTTATTATTATCATTTTTGCATAGTGTTGGTTTTCCTTCTCTTTTCATTAGTTTTTAAAGTCTCATAATTTGAATATCAGAAGCAATCACGTTCTGTGTTGGCAAAAGAATCAAAATCAAGTTTTTCTGGGTCTCAAAAATATACCCCAATTAGCCTCTTCCGTTCGGTGAAGATATATATATATATATATATATATATTTATATATATGTATGTATATAATCAAGATAATAATTTCATTATCTAGGAAGCATCATTCGAATTTGATTCCTTTTCCCAC